GTAACTGATGGTCCCATTTAGAGTGAAATAAACCTGCTTACTGTAGTTTTTATCAGCGGCGGATTAATCCACATCTGTGGCAGCAGGACAGTGTATGAATGAACTACAGGTCTTGGTTTTGGTCTATTAAAGGGATTTGTTTACAATAAACATACAGAATATCACCAAAGTAACTAAACTTATAATTTATTGTCTATTTCTGGCTCCATGTAGTTGTTTGATGTATTCTTCTTCTTCCCGTAAATAAGAACAATATTTAGTATCTAATCTCTTCCAGAATATTTCCAGTAATTTGTGTGATAGAAGAACATTTTTCAGTCACCCACATTCGCTTTCCACACCCACAAAGAGCAGGAAATAAACCAGAATGCAATACAGGTACAGTTTTAAGTCTCAACCCCGCCGTCACTGTCGCACCCACACGCAGGGCGGCACAGAGCAGGTGGTTGGATGCTCTCCCGCTCTTTCATTATTACTGTCACCACTTGTCCGTCCGCCTACACCTTGAACAAACAGCTGGACGTGGCTAAATTCAGGCAGGATGAGTCATATGTTCAGTGTGTCAGCTTCCACGAGGTTGACTCATGTTCGGCAGTCAACGTACATCCAGCTGGAAGTCTGCAGTGAAATATTTCTTTCTTTTGTTCAGCGGAGGTCATTTCTGACTCTGATCTCGATATTGAAGGTATATTAAACATATTTCCTCACTTAGCTCTGCTGGTATCAATTCAATCAGATATGATTGGTTTTATTTACTGATATATGTCATTATATTACATTTTTTTTTTTGCTGTTCAGGCCTCACTGTCAACAGCATCCTGGAATACCTGGAGTATACCTGGAGTACTAAAGTTTTCCAGTCACAGAAACACCTGGAGATTGATTAAAATGACCAAATATCCTGGAAATAATCTACGTTGCCCTGGAAAGATTTTAACTGTGTTTTAACCCCTCTCAGATCATTTACGTAAACCGGGTTTGAAACTTTTGTCAGGATGAGCTCCACGCTACGATACTTAGAAATGTGTTTACCAGACGTGGAGCCGAACGATGCGTCGTCAATGTTACAGTTAGAAGAGAAAGATCTGCCACCTACCTACCTGTAATGAACCTGAGACACTCCATGAAGGAGAATTAAAACTGGGGTTAAATGTGTCAATACGAGGCCTCCCGGTAAATTATATGACTGTTTGTGAGTGCAGTCCTGTAGTGTCAAGAAAACTTGATTTCTTAAGATGAGCTGCAATCCGCAATTGTACATGTATTAATATCATAATTTATCATAACTTCTGGAAAAGACATGTTGATTGTTCAGTTTATTAGAGGCAGAAATCAGATACATTAAAAAACCTTGGTAAATAAAAACAAAACTATCTGTGTGGCTGGAAAGAAATTGCTAGAAATCAGTGAGGACATTTCTTTTGCATATTTTGGGTGAACAGACATAATTAAAAGGTTATGAAATTCACTGCCACTAGATGTCGCACTAGAGCTCCAGCATCGCTCACTAAAACAATGGGTGTTCCAGCCCACCGGACTCCATTCACTAAACCACTCATTTTACCTTCAGATCATCATGACTTCATTCAAAGTGAACAGAAAAAATAAAACTCATTAAAACCG